GACACGGAAGCGTAAAAAAAAAGGGAAGAGGGGAGAAAAGTAAAAAATGATGGGAAAAGCTAAATAGTCTTTTTTTTTTTAAGCCTATCACTTACATTTAACCGATACCCTCATATTACCAAGAAAACAATTACTATTGGTCTATTTTAAAATATAAAAAGTACACTCTTTTTTTCGTTTCGTTTCTCTTATATTGACTCAAATCATGCTACAATATCAAGACTGTTCCTAAAGTATAGAAAGGATCGTTCAAACGAAGCTTCACTCTACGAATAAAGAAAATAAAAATATTAAGCTGATATGCTAGTCCTTGGAAATTGACACTACGATTAAAGAATGGGCTTATAAATATATATATGCGTATTCAGCATTTGATTCTGATTAAAGATAACATCCAAGAAAAAAAAGATAGCTGATGCCCGTAAAAATCGAGGAGGGGTATATTCCACATACTGTGTCCATAGGAAAAGCAAATGACAATGATATTATATTTTCATATTGTTTTCTGAATTGATTCCATATTTCAAGAAGCAACTGAAGAGCTGATAGCTATCTATATGAATGTAATTCACGAAAAGTATTTCCAATCGCAGAAAGAAACAATGTATCTATATATGCCTTTTAAACTACTAGCTTCACCATTTTGTTAATCTCAATTCATGTCCCTCTCTTACACCATGCTTTCAGAAATAGCAGTAACTTTTTTTTGAATACATTAAAAAAAATATCAATATCAATATCAATATCAATATCAATATATATATATAATTAAATTTCATTTACGTGTAGAAATTCCTATTTTACCAATTTGATCAAAGGCAATCTATATACCATTCATATTCAACATATATATATATATATAGATATAGATATATAAGACAATGCTATATTTCATTTTTAATGGATATCCTCACTATGACTAACCGACGGAAACTTTTGAATTTTTTGTTTCAATTTAGTACAGTGGAATTAACATCCACAACACACCCCTGGAAAGTTATCGCCATGCGCGTGAATGCGAGGCAGTCGAGCTGATGCGATATTTATCCATGTCAGCACTACCCACTTCCGCGTCGTCGCTCCGCCGTGCCGCGCTGTTGGCTATCCTGAGTGATTTGCTTCCTGTGGCGTTTAGGCTGTTGTTTGTATTCGAGCCCCTGACGGCCTTCCCCTCGCAGGGGCTTTCCCGCTCACCCCCGTTGTAATATTACGTTAGTCAAGCTTGGGCGCAGCCGATCTCCG